CCTAAATTGCACTGTAGAAAATAATATAATTTAGTTTGCCAAAAATGAAAGTAGAATAATAATATTTAAAGTAATGGAATAGAGGTAGATTAATTACTCTTGTGGATTGTGCAGCACCCAATCTCTAATTGTTTGATATTCGGTGATAGAGTAGTCTTCTAAAGGATAGTTTATTGGTGGCTGTCTTTTTTCCTTTAGTTTTTCGTTCTTTTGACAATCTTGTAACATTTTCAGTTTGGTGAGATGTCGAGATATGTGCTGCAATAGGGCTTGTATGAACATGAACATCTTGCTGAAGGGCACCTATAGCAGCTTCCATATTCGATTTCCAATCAGATAGTTCGTTCAGTACTTTGTTATTTTGTTCGTTGATGTGAGATTGTACTGAATTTAAACTGTCATCGATATAATGTTGCATGTTAGATTGTATGCCTCAGTAATGTTCTTCTTGCCGTTGTTGTTGTTTTTGGTAATGTTCTTCTTGCCGTTGTTGTTGTTTTTGGAAGAACTGTTGTTGGTTGTCAAGAAGTGTTTGATACTGTATTTCTTGTATTCTTGATTGTTCCGAAATGCGTGCGGTGAATAAAGTATCACACATACCTGAGACATCTGAGACTATATGCTGTTTTTGTATATTTAGCATCTGTTCCAGTTCTTCTTTTGTGACATAATTAGAACCAATGTAGGTAGAACTTGGGCCAGCTTCAGTCTCAATAGATGTTCTTGAAGTACCAGATCTGGTTGGCATGTTATCAGTATATTCCTGGTTTTGTTGAGCCACGTTGTCTAATTCTCTGGAAAGAATGTCATTAAGTATATTATAGTAGTTATCTTGTGGCAATGAAAGAGTTGTATACCACGGTGTCTGTAATTCTTCTTCTGTAGGATTTAGTATTGCAAATACTTCAATATGTAATTATAATGAAACAAGTTAATAAATTATTATAATTTTTCTTCGTGAAAACTAAAAATATAATTAAGTGATTAATGTATGCAGTAAATGGATATAAGTGAACAATAAAATTACCTCTTGTGTAGCTAAAAATTACTGAATTGTTTTTTCTGATAATACTGTCTTTGGCCTCCATTTGTGCATTCTTGGACATTGTAATGATGTGTGTCTATAGCGTCCAAATTTCCGACCAATCTATTGAAATGCTTCATATATCCAATGTTGAATGATAATTAAAAATAAATATTAGCTATAGATGATTTGTATAAGTAATAAAATAATATATAAATTGACGAGCAATAAAAAATGGGAGAAAAGTACCTGGAATGCAAGAGGATATCCATGTAATGAGTATTTACATTCATTTTGGCCATTTTCTTGCATTCTTTGTGTTCGTTCTAGGTGGGATTGTCGCAGCG